AAGTGGGCAAGCGGTGAGCCCAACTGCAGTACGTCGGCAGTGAGACTACATCGAGTTGGCAGTGGAAACCCCATGAAGTCAGGAGTACCGGTCCCAGTTAGTCTTAGTACAGGCAAGCAAGTACCGCATGGGACTGTGTGCACCACGGGCAAGGGAAAGGGCCAGACCATCGGGCTACATAAGTATAAATCAAAGGGTAGCGTCCAGCCATTGATTCATTCCTGCGTGAGCCATGCGGAAGCGCTGTCATAGCGACTTGTGCGAGGTGGTCTGCAGCGAGCCCGAGGACGAAGTGGGCGAGAGAGAAGGAGCGTAGCCATAGCGATAGGGTAGTAGCGGCCATAGCCGCCATAACTGTAGATAGTGTGCAGTGTGAGTGTGTGTGTGCGTGTGTGTGTGTGTGTGTGTACAGAGTATCTCGTGTGGGATATCCAGGGTGTTCCTGTGTGTGCGAACAGAGAGTTGTGTGGGTGTTGAGTCGCCATAGCCATTGAAGTGAACTTGTACCTGAAATGTGTTCTTGGCTGCCATATCTCTGAGTTTTGAGTGGGCGCTTGCCGCCAGTTTGCTGCGCACCTGTTTGCATGCATGCGAAGTGTGGATGAGAGCGAGTCTGATTGCATTGGTATCGGAGCTGGTACCCGCTATTCCACGCTCATCGTGGTGTGCCGCAGGGAGAGTAACGCGCCATAGCCGAAGTGGCCATAGCGGACATGGAGGTTGAAGAAGCTGTCGTGCACACCTGCAGAGAAGACCACAACAAAGAAGAAGAGAGAGAGAGAGAGAGAGGGAGAGAAAGGTTGAGCAATACAAGATTGGTTAACTACGTACCTTCGTTGAAGACATCGCTACGGCGAGAGAGAGAGAGAGAGAGAGAGAGAGAGAGAGAGAGAGATGAGCGATACAAGTTTGGTTGTCACGTACCTGTGAAGCGTGCCATGCAGTCCCACGAAGGAGGCGGCGGCCATAGCCGCGGAGCTCGACCACAAAGTATCGGAGGAAGGTGAAAGAGAGGACAAGTGAGGAGACAGGAGAGTGAAGGAAGCCATAGTCGAGGACAGGGGAGGAGACAGAGGAGAGTAAGGAAGCCATAGCCGAGGAGGTGAAGGGAGAGACGATCAAAAAAAAAAAAAAAAAAAAAGACAGCCAGGGTGAAGAGAAAGAAGGCGAGGTAGGAAGAAAGGAAGGAGAAGGGTGGTGAGGAAGGAGAAGCCGACAACCATAGCTGAACGGGGGTTGACCAGGAGAGTTGACCAGGCGTTGACTAGGCATTGACCGCGGTTGACCAGGAGTTGACTGGCGGTTGACTATAACGTTGACCAAGCGTTGGCCAAGCGTTGACCAGGGCTGTTGACCACGAGTTTGACCAAGCTGGAGCCGGTATAATCTCGCCAAGCCTTCAGCCTATCCCCTCGCCCTATGGATGTGCACACACCCTGTGGTACATGCTGAGTCAAGTTTGTCTGTCTCTTCTTTTTGCATCGAGTCTCTTCTGTCCAGATGATAGGAACTCTGTGGATGAAGGATAGGGCCTTGTTGACGAAACCCACATGGGCTGAGTAAGGATAAAGACTGTGTTTGACGCCTCGACTGTCCCGGAGGACACGAACCCTCCCAAGGACCGGTACTTACCGGTGGGCTGCTAGGTGTGGCATGGTAGGCCCAAAATCCGAGCTGTGGACTGCACAGCAGGCCGTCTAAGTCTTGAGAAGACCTGCTGATCGCGTCGTCCTGTGCGCGACGTTAAATGATTCCTGAGGAGTTACGCGGGATCTCCTTAAATGCCTCCTAATCAGCAACAGGTCTTGTACTGACAGCCTTAGAATAGGTCTAGGCTAGAGACCCTAGTTGATAGGATCGTGTCCGGATTCTGTAAGTCCTTAGATTGAGTCAGTAGGTTTGTTAGTCAAGGGGAGTCCAGTCTAAGTGGTGAGGAGTGGGACCGTTGTTTGGTTGTGCACCTATCACCATGGTTGACACCCGCAGTGGGAAGAATATTGTTCCCCAATCCGAGGCCGAGCAGGCCCGGATTGTCGGCATTTTGAGAGAAAGAAAAGAGAAGAAAGAGATCCTCAAGCAGGCGAAGCTGAAAGCAATCGCAGAGGAGCAGGCGGCGAAGAAGAAGAAGTTAGAAGAAGAGATGTTGAGATTCCAAAAGGATTTGCTAGGGCATAAAAGAAATGATAGAAGACCCCCTGGAACGTCGGACAACAGAAGATGAGAAGAAGTTGGAGTGGAAGTTGCGGATGATGAGGAGAAGAAGAGGAGGGAGGAAGCCAACTGAGTGGCGAAAGAAGTGGAGAAAGTCCGAGCATGCAGACCAGAGATGTAGGCACAAACAAAGGTCCACGCAAAATTAGATAAGATTATAGGGTACCTGGAGATCTTGAGTGAGGCCTGGCTTGAGGAGCATCAGGCCAACAAGGGTCACGATGTGACCCTGCATGCCATGCGGTCCGGTTTTGGAGAGTTTGCGTGCAACGTGGTTACCCACGTCGGGACCGAAGTCAAGGCGCAAAGAAGTTTTTTGTTGGCGCCATTGAAGGTGCCAAAGTAGTGGCCACAGCAGAGGCCGCAGCACGTCCCCGCAAAGAGCCAGTAAAGCGCAAATTTCCAGATTCTTACAGTGGGAAGAAGGACGAGATTTTTGACATCTGGGAAGCCAGTGTCAATACTCATGTGTATTGGCAGCACATTGCCCTCGAGGAGCAAGTCCTCGTTGCCTTCCATGCATCGAAGGACGAAGCGGCCAGCTTCGCCAGGTCCCTAGCGCACGCCGCCGATTGCGAGCACAATATGATTGCATATTCTAGACTCACCCCTCTCTCCACTTTTCTCAAACTCTTGCGCGAGAGGTTCGCTGACTTCACGAGAGGCGTCAGGGCCTTTGACAAGCTCCAAACCATCCACTCGCGACAGCGGAGGAGTGAGCAACACTCAAAGCTGTCATGGACGACTTGGTAGCCGTCCCGGACCATGGGGGCGTAAAGACCCAATTTGTCCAGCTGTGTTCTATCGTGCCATGCCAAAGCCCAACAACCCAACATCACATACGATGCATTGAGTAGGGAAGTGGTCTTGTTCGAGGCCACGTCCATGCCAGTTTCCCCTTTTTGGCACAAGGACTTAGATAAGGAAAAAAAGTGGAAAGGCCGTACCATCTCTGGCTAGGTTAGGGCCAAGGGTCATTTGATCCTGACTCTAGATGAAGGTGGTACAGGTGAAGTTCCCTATAGCCAGATTGAGTGGGGCCTCGAGGAGGAGGACAATAGCATGGGTCAGGGGAGGCCCTATGCAGCTGTCGCGGCTGGAGGGAGGCCGCAAGGTAGAGGAGGAGGCCAGGGCCAAAGGGGCCAGGCCATGGGAGGCGGAGGACCGGGCGCACAGGGGGTTGGCGGTCAAGGGAACCGTCAAGCGGGAGGTAGGGGTCAAGGTCCCCCGCCAAATCGTCAAGGTCCTAGTCGGTCCCCATAGCGACGAGGTGGTAGGTCACCTCAAGGGTCAGGAGGTTGGCACCCAGGCTGGCCACAAGGCCGGCCCTTGGAAGATTTGGACCTGGACCAAAAAGTGTGGCAACAGCGAATGGAGCAGGGGTAGTGCATTTACTGTGGTGACCCTGCCCATATTATCAAATATTGTCCTAAGTATAGACATGCCCGATGGGCTGCCCAGGAGTCAAAAGACAGCCGCTGGTAGGGGTTGCAACTGCCCCTACTATTAGGCCATGTGGGGAAGCGAGCGCGCGCGTACAGGAAACTCCCACACCACATGAGCCTTCGACAGAGGTTGCAGGCCCGTGCCTAGTTAGCTGTCCAGAGACTGCTTGTGTCAGCGCCTCTCTAGGCACGTCCCTCACAGGCGTGGCAGAGGAATTGAAGGAGAGGATGCCTGCCTTGGCCAAGATGAAAAAAGAAAGTAAAGGGCAGCTAGTGTTAGTTGATGTAGAAGTCTTCTGGAGTAGAGTAGGGACCCTTATAGATTCAGGGGCTATCCGTAGCTATATTAGCCATAAAGCGCTGAAGAAGTTGAGGCTAGGATTGAAAGTCCAAAAGTTAGAAGACCCCGTAGTTAGTGTCCTCGCAGGCAACCGCACTATGCGTGTTGAGGACTACGTAGAGGGAGTCCAGGCGTACTTCTGCCTAGAGAAAGATGGGAAGGTGGAGAAAGTTCTCCATTCCCTGACTCTCCTCGTACAGGATGACCTTCCCTTCGATATAGTCCTAGGTATGGACTGGGGAGAGGCAATAGGGGCCACACTCCACTTGAGAGAGCATTGTGTAGGCTCCCTAGTCCGTCAAGCGAGGTTAAGGTTGCCCGCCTGTTTCATGTGTCTAGAGTAGCACATTGCTGCCTCAGTGCTCCCGCGTTCGCGCGACTAGTGAGAAAGGAGCAATTAGAGGACCAGGTCTTCGTAGTGTATGTCAGACCTGTCACTGAGCCTAAGACAGAGGATAGTTTCATGGATCCAGCCATTGCCAAGCTGTTGGAAGAGTTTAAAGATCTGATAGAGCAGCCGACAGGAGTAGTGTCGTGGCCAATCCAGCACAGGATAAAGATAGAGCCTGGCAGTAGAACTCCTAAGGGAGCAGTTTACAGGATGTCCCCAAGAGAGTTGGAGGAGCTGTGCAAGCAATCGGATGAGCTCCTTGAGAAAGGTTGGATTAGGCCCAGTTCGTCTCCTTTTGGAGCACCAATTTTGTTTGTCCCCAAGAAGGAAGGAGAGCTGCGCATGTGTATAGACTATAGGGGTCTGAATGCGATTACAGTTAAGAATGCTGAACCACTGCCCAGGATAGACGATCTCTTAGATCGGGTGCAAGGTTGCAGATATTTTTTAAAGATGGCAACCTCAGGACACGAAGTGGGCGAGTTAAAGTCCGGATATCATCAGATAGAGGTCCATCCTGATGACCAGTACAAGACTGCGATCCGGACTAGATATGGGCATTATCTTAGTGTTCAGTAGGACCTTCCAGGAACACCAGTGTCATTTGAGGCAGGTCTTGGAGAAGTTGAGAGAAGCTAACTTCAAGATCAATGCGAAGAAGTGCGAGTGGGCCAAGACACAAGTCCTGTACTTGGGCCACGTGTTAGACGGAGATGACATTAAGCCTGAGGACAGTAAGATAGCAGCGCTTAGGGACTGGTCGACACCCCACACGTTGACTGAGTTGCGGTCGTTCCTAGGCCTAGGTAATTACTATAGGAAGTTCGTGAGGAACTTCTCGACTATCACCGCTCCCCTTTGCAGGTTGCTCAAGAAAGAGGCAATCTGGCAGTGGGATAAGGATTGTACGTCTGCGCTAAAGAAGTTAAAGCGCGCGTTGATAGAGTACCCTATCCTCAAGGTAGCAGATCAGTCCTTGCCATTTGTCGTCAGCACGGACGCAAGTCAGTATGGAATAGGTGTCGTGTTACAGCAGGACGACGACAATGGCTACAGACCCGTAGAGTTCATGTCAGCGAGGATGCCCTCAGAGAAGGTAGCCACCTCGACGTATGAGAGAGAACTCTAAGCTCTCAGACATGCCTTAAGAGCACTTTAAGGTGTATTCAGACCACAAGACACTTAGATGGCTGAAGACACAGGCCAAGATGACACCTAAGTTGACTAGGTGGGCCCCTGAGATAGACCAGTACGACTTTGAGATCAAGCCAGTTAAGGGCAAGTACAATGTAGTTGCAGATGCTCTAAGTAGGAGATCAGACTACTTTGGATCTATAGTTCACTCTCTGGATATAGGGAGTGGCCTGTACGAGAAAGTTAGACAGGCGTATGCGCAGGACCCTATTTATAGCGGCCTCCTCAAGAGAGTCAAAGAGGCCCCAGAGACAGAGCCAGATTACTGCACTACAGAGAGGTTAATCGAGCCAGATTACTGCACTACAGAGGGGTTACTATTTGAGAAGATCAATGTAGTAGACCGTTTGTGCATTCCTAACAGTGAGGAAATCCGTAGCTTGATCCTAGGGGAGTGCCACGACACAGAGGGACATTTCGGTTGGCAAAAGACTGTAGCCAACCTGATGCATGCGCACACATGGCCAGGAATGAAGATCGACTGCATGGAGTATGTCCGCAGTTGTATGGTTTGCTAGAGAAATAAGAGTACTACGAGTGCCCCTCTCGGTCTTCTCAGACCCTTGCCTATTCCCGACCAGCCCGGAGACTCTGTGTCCATTGACTTTATGGATACTCAAGTCAAGAGTAGGCACGGCAAGAGCCAAGTCATGGTCATAGTTGACAGATTTAGCAAATACACTGTTTTTGTCCCTTTGCTTGCAGAGGCCCGTACTGAGTTAGTGATTCAAAAGTTTTTTTTATTTTTGGGTTAGTGAGCATGGCGTCCCATTGTCTATTGTTAGTGATAGAGATACGCGCTTCACCAGCCAGAACTGGCAGGAACTAATGAAAGTCTACGGATCCAAGTTGTTGATGTCATTTGACCGCCATCCAGAGACTAACGGTCAGACGGAGCAGATGAATAAGATCCTGCAGCAAGTTCTGCGCATGTATATTAGACCTGATCAAGTCAATTGGGACGAGATGTTGCCCAAGGTAGCCAGTGCGTACAATAACAGCGTGCACTTGTCCACCTGTTGCACTCCCAATGAGTTGCACAAGTCCTTTAGACCGCGCAGACCGTTTGAGGGACTTAACCGGGATCAGATTCACAGGCTACCGCCCGGTACTAGGGAGTTTGCGATACAACACGAAAGAGAGCTAGCTACGGTTGTTGAGAACCTCAGGAAGGCCCATCATAGAATGATTGAGCAAGCCAACACGCACCGTCGCCCATCGCAGTTCCAAGTAGGCGACTTAGTCTGGGTCAAGTCCAAAGAGTGTGCTCCTGAGGAAAATATCTCGCAGAAGTTACTGCCCGCGTATAGAGGGCCGTGGCCAGTTCTAGAAGTCAAGGGCGGACGGGATGGACCAGCCTACACCATAGAGATCCCAGCATACCTCCACACGTACCCTGTATTTCATCCATCAAATTTGCTGCCGTGTGTCACAAGTCAGCAGTTTCCATCTAGACAGTCCATGATCCCTCCAGACATGGACGGAAGATGGACATTGACTGCATCGTAGGTGAAGATGTGTTTAGAACAGGAGGTAGAGGTCATCCATAGAAACAGTATAAGGCCTGATTTGCTTATCAGGAGCCAGAGGACGACTGCTGGTTTACGAGAACAGAACTTCTAGAAGCAGCTCCCGACATAGTAAGAGCCTACGAGTGAGATAAGAAAGGTAAAGGTCCAGTCTTGGATTGAAATATTCTCGGAGGACCTCGAATTTAGGCCGGCGGGAGTGAAATGGTATTCACCAGTTCGCAGTAGCCGATGCAGATCCCAGGGCTCGATCCCTAGTCCTCACATTACCTGTGTACAGTATCTGTGTCGACCCCGAGAGTTGAACCCGTGATCTGCGTATTTGTGACAGTTGGTAGACTGTCGTAGGGTCCGTAGGTAGCAGGGGTTCGATCTGTAGATCTGTGGAGTAGAAGTCCTAGTAGTGGCCTTTCAAAGTTGCTCACGTTTTGGCTGAGGCAAGTGGGCAAGTGGGCAAGTGGTGAGCCCAACTGCAGTACTCGGCAGTGAGACTGCATCGAGTTGGCAGTGGAAGCCCATGCAGTCAGGAGTACCGGTCCCAGTCAGTCCTAGTCCAGTCAAGCAAGTACCGCATGGGACTGTGTGCACCACGGGCAAGGGAAAGGGCCAGACCAACGAGCTACAGAAGTATAAATCAAAGGGAAGCGTCCAGCCATTGATTCATTCCTGCGTGAGCTATGCGGAAGCTCTGTCATAGTGACTTGTGCGAGGTGGTCTGCAGCGAGCCCAAGGACGAAGTGGGCGAGAGAGAGGGAGCTTAGCCATAGCGATACGGTAGTAGCGGCCATAGCCGCCGTAGCTGTAGATAGTGTGCAGTGTGAGTGTGTGTGTGTGTACAGAGTATCGCGTGTGGGATATCCAGGGTGATCCTGTGTGTGCGAACAGAGAGTTGTGTGGGCGCTGAGTCGCCATAGCCATTGAAGTGAACTTGTACCTGAACTGTGTTCTTGGCTGCCATATCTCTGAGTTTTGAGTGGGTGCTTGCCGCCAGTTTGCTGAGCACCTGTTTGCATGCATGCGAAGTGTGGATGAGAGCAAGTCTGATTGCATAGGGGAACGTGTCTGGGTCAAGGCTAGTGAGTTGGGACAGGAGTTTGGCATCTCTAGGAAACTAATGCCTCCGTATTTTGGTCCCTGGGAAGTCTTAGACATTGTGGGGAATGATTTGGATGGTCCCTCGTACGTCATTCGTATCCCTGGTCACTTACACACTTACCCTGTTTTCCACGCCTCCAAGCTTGCACCTTTCGCTGAGACAACACAGTTCCCATCACGAAGATCTATGCTGCCCCCAACCATGGATGGCCATGTGGACGTCAACGACATCCTGGATCACAGAGACACGCCTGTTCCCAAGCCACCTGGCAGGGGAAGACCCCCCAAACCTGCGAGGGAGTACAGAGTACATTTCAGGCATCATACTGATCCGAAGGAAGATCGATGGATTTCAAGGGAGGAACTTGTCAAGACAGCTCCTCAGATCGTTGCAGATTATGAGAAGAGACTGAAGGGGAAGACACCAGCATGAAGCATCTCAGCGGACTTTCAAAGCTAAGGGGGATGGAATGTGAGGAACAAGCCCTCAAGGGGCCCTATCAGACATCACATTGTTCTGGGTTAAGGCCCCCAGCAAGCCAAAGTGCCCGCCCTAAGTGAAGGCGGGCCTGAATATTCGTCAGAGGCAAAATTTGACAATTCAATATGTGGGTATTCAGGCTCTCGCAGCACGCCAGTTGGTTGGGTAGACGTGTGAGCGTCACATTTCTGCGTCATACAGCTGGCCCAGGCCTTGACAGTTGCGCCCGGGCACACACACAAAGCAGGGCCGATACATTGGGAAGCAGGCCTTTGGCCTTGGCAAAAGCAGTAGTGCCAATGCACCTGCCTGGGAGCCCTGCACAGATGCAGCAAACAGCCCAAGTCCAGAGACTCAGGCCGTGCCTAACTGTAAACGGGCCAGGCCATCAACTGTAGTCTCGGGCCTGGGTGCAGGGTCTGGGACCCAACCGGAAGCTACTGGAAGCTTCCCGCCAGGCCACACGCAGCATCCAGGAGGCTGCCACTTCCACAAAAGGAGTGAGGCAGCCCAGGCCAGGCATTCTGGCCAGTGCTGGCAATGCAGAAGTGCTGCTGCGCTCTCGCTTGATGCTGCTTCGCTGCCAAGGGCGCTGACGGGGCGCGTAGAGGTGATGTGGAGTGCTGCAGGGCAGCGGGGCGCAGACGGCCATAGCCGGGCTGCTGGGCGCCAGGGGGTAATGCGGGCGATTGAGTGGTCTTCAGGGAAGGAGGTGAGTGTGGGGTAATGAAGGTCTGATTGAGGGTGACAAGATACGTACCTGCTACATGAAGAGAGGTTGGCGATGGTGTTGGCAGTCATGTACATTGGTCTTTGTGAGTCGAAGTGATCCTGTTGCGTGAACCAGCTGTAGGTAGGATAGTCGGGTAGAGTGGGCTGGGCGCTGAGCACCAGACAGAGCAGAGCGACTTTGAATACTGTGTTCGTGTTGCCTACGGGCTTGAACATTGGCTCATTACTTCATTGTATTGCTCTATATGGATGGTTTTCTCGGTGCATTTGTACTCTCTGCTTGGGACGCGACTACTTGGACAGCTGTGTGATTTCGCAATTTGGTTTGATGTATATCGCTCACACTCATATTCCTTGCACAGGCTCGACACAACTCGACGGTCGGAGACACAAAGTGGCAAAGTCTCAAAGTCTCAGTCTTGGATTCCTGAACACAATGTCGAAGCATAGTCACACTGAAGAGGCTGAGTCTGGGTCTGGGCACCAGAATGCCGGATGTCGCCAAGTATCGAAATCCGAAAGTGCCAAAAGAGGAATTTGAGAACAGGCGCCAACTGCAGAGGGCGCCAACATTCAGGGGCCTGAGAATGCAGACAGTGTGCAGGACTTGCAATCATAACTCCTTTACCCTCCTTTTTGGGTTTGTCCCTTTTGCCTGTCATTCTTTCCCAACCCTCTGTGTAACCCTATCGTAAGCTGATGCAATTCCATCCCTAGAGGTTTGAACTTTGATCCCGGCTTCCGTTTATCAGCAATATGTCCGCACACTCACAGAGTATTGGCATGGTATGGAACTCTGATGGCACCCATACACCTGCAATCATACCACATTAACTCGAAGTTTCTTTTCTGTTTTTAAAATTTCCTCGGGTCCCTTTGCCCCAGAGACCATCAACTGCTAAATGGAAGATTGAAAGGAGAAGCAAAGGAACAGAAAAGCAATGGGTACAGCAAAATTGTGGCATGGCAAGGGCCAAGGTGGTTGATTGCTCTGAGGTGACTGTTCATTTGTAAATGGGGGAGGCTGATCTGTGATACGTGGATTTCTGCCGTCTGTGTGGGTGGGATTCTCTTGGATTGACAGAGCTGGTAGGGCAAGGGAAAAATCTGATCATGGCAGAATGGAGAGCAAGTGAGATGGCCAAGGAACGGGATGAACTTCTTGCCGCTCTTAAGGAGAAGGATGTGAAGATGCGTTATCTCGAAGCTGCCAAGGGAAAGGCTGCACAGAAACTCAAGCAGACAGCACAGTGGCTTGAGGGTTTTCGCAACCAATCTGAAGCAATGCTTTCAGAGATTGACAGTCTGAGGACGGCTCTTGGGAGCAGGGATGCAGAGTTGGTGGTTCTGAGAGCAGAAATTGGCAGGTCTACTGATGAGGAGAAGGGCTTGCGAGAGCGGCTTGCTGGGAAAGACTATGAAATAAAAATACTCTGTGTTGAGGTAGCTGAACTCAGAAGGAAGGTGGAAAGTTCGGAGCAGTTACTGGGAGAAAAGCAAGCAGAGGTAGAGGAATTGTGCACAAAGCTTACCTCCACGGCGACGGAAATGGAGACCCTGCGCTCGACTGCAGAGTGGCGAGAAGCAGAGATAAATGAGCTACGGAAAGAAACAGAGGGGTTGATTGCAGAAGCTGAAGGGTGGCAGACTGCAACAGCAAGGAAGGAAGTTGAGGTGGTGGAGGCCAGAAAGAGTTTGGATTCGGCAACAGCCCAAGTGCGGTTACTGATGAGTAACCTTGACCATAAAGACCTGGAGGTGACAAAAGTGCATGCTGACCTCAATGCTGCAGTGGAGGCCGCAAAGGCAGCAGAAGGACGAGTGGAATCCATGAAGAAAGAGATGGAAGATATCGTAAGATACCAGAAATCTCACTTCTATTTGCTTCTTCAGGGCAGAGTCACTTGGCACTTTGTCCACAACCATCAAACTACAAAACATATGGTTGCACCCCTCTGCCCTTGCAGCTCTTGCTTTGATCCTCCACTCTAAGCCAGGCTACTGTGCAATCACAGGAGGTTGTTCTCAGACCGAACCTTACTGAATCCGGCCTGCTTTTCGAACCTTTGTGGCGATTTCCTTGTTTTCCCATCCTTTTATCTTGTTTTTCCTTTGGGGGGGAGGGTGGCAAAAGCTAAACAATGCAACAACTGAACCCCATTTTCTGTCCATGGGGCACAGGAGGGTGATGGCTAGGCTCATCTGCACAGAGACCTCCTGCCCTGAAAGGACTCGTCCAAATTGGAGTTTGGGTAACAGCAACCAATCGCCCAACAGTATGCGCTTGTTGTCCAGCATGGGCAATTTGGCCGTCATAACGCGTTTTATCCCCTAGGAGGATCACAGAACTGGTTGCTGTCTGTCCTCTGCATAGCAGCACTACCCTGGTCAAGTGAGGGTGGTCGATGGTGCCAGGCGACATAGTTACCAAGAGAGAGAGAGAGAGAGAGAGAGAGTGGAAGACGTGCAGAGAGAGAGGTAGCAAGGGAAGTGGAATACGTGCAGAGAGAGGGAGAGAGCAAGAGAGGTACCTGCTGGGAGTGTTGGTGGCTTTATTCACCCAAGTGTATACACTGTAATGACCCTTCAAAACACAGACTGAGAACACTGCTGATTTCTGAAGTTCTGTCGATGGAATGGATGCCTTGATGAGATTCCCGCATTCTGCTGTGTTTTCTAAGTCTGTCTCTGGGTGTGTGCTTGTGACCTGCGTGTCTGTCTGAGTGCTTGTCGGTATGAGTGTGTGTGTGACCCGCAAGGGTACTTGCTTGTTTGGTAGGCCCGTTGGGCCGGTACTTACCTGTGGCTGTGGCATTGAGGGTTGTAACAGGGAAAAACACTCAAGTGGCGAAGCTAGCGGCCCTGACGCCCTTGGGGTAGCGGAAAAACACTCAAGTAGGCCGGTAGGCCGATACTGCACCCCACTGCAGTTGGCGTGAGGGGGTACTGGAGGCCGAGCAGAAAAAGACAAAGTTGGCATTTTTAGAGTCCAGTAGCGGTAGGGTAGGTCTAGGCCGGTACCAGTCCAACCAGTCTGAGTCTAGAGCCTGTGCGGGTAATATCAGGGTCTGCAATGATGTTTCCCTCCGAAACGGAGGAAGTACCGGTTGCTTGGAGAGGCCGAGCGGCCTGGAAGTCATCGCCCAAGAGGCAAGCAGGCCGCTATATCTAGAGGCGGAGGCAAGAGCTCCGCCTCATTCTTCAGTGTGCGAGTTGGGCGTCACGCTGCTGGAGCGCTAGGTGGTGTAGCGCTGGGCACTACAGCGCTGCTGGGAGGAAGAAGCTGGGAGCTTCCACCTTGGCTATGGTGGAGCTCTACCGGTAGGAGGAGGAGAAAGAAGGGGACCAAGGAGGAGAGTGGCGAGGTACTTACTGGCTATGGTAGGCACCATCTTCATCTCCTTGCTAGGCGCTGCATCAGGAAGGCCTCAGTGGGAGTAGTGCCGCATCAAGGAAGCTCGGACAGAGTCAGGCATGGCGGTTGAGTCGGCAGTGGTATAGCTGCTGGGTGATGACCTTGAAGAAGGGCAGCGGTGTAGCTGCTTGGGGTTGTCTTTGGTACAGGAGGCTGAAGCCTCAGTTGTCCGCCATAGCCTCGGTCTGTATGTGGAGGAAGAAGAAGGGCTGCCATGGCTATGGTGGACTTCATCTTGTGCCTGCAGTAGAAGTGGGATTCGGACATTGATTCTGGTTCAGCTGTTCAACATTATTATTGTTTATTTATTGTTTGAATAAGAGAGGAGGAGATAAAGAGGAGGAGGTTGTTGAGCGAAGAAGAAGAGCTTTGTCTTTGGTCTATGCTGGAGTCAATCATCTCTTTCTTCTTTCTTAMTTCTTCTTCTTCTTCTTTCCCTCTCTCTCCTCTCAAGTTCTTTCATTTCTTTTGCAATTGGACGGCATTGGGCTCAAGTTCATTCATTTCTTTTCGCAATTGGACAACATTGTACTTTCTGATGATTGTGGACTTCAAAAGTGGCCAGGATCGTAACATACACAAAAGAGTCGCATAATACGTTTTTTAAAACAATTTTCAAAGTGTCTCATATCGTGTGTGGTGTGCATCTCGCGCATGAAGTTTGTGTGATGCAGCATGTTGTGCGATGCTGTGACGAGCAGTGTGAGTCGTGTGGTCATCACATTAGTCCGATGTCATTGATCTTGTCTCTTGCTCCTTTTTGCATACAGAAAAAGAAAATGGAACAGAACAAAAGGTTGTTTCCAAGTCAAGTGCAGTCACACCCGCTTACGGCAGCAACAAATCTAGGTCTAACTCCATCAGGATCGACAGTGAGTGTTATGAAGCGATCTATTGGATCACGGAGTGTTGACCTTGAAGCTGCCTTGCCGGTCACTGTCGCTGATCTTCTGGAAGAGCAAGGTCAGTCAGCTCCCTTCTGTTCTGAACGTTGCAGATTTTCAGCATCCTCCTATGGTAATTTTTGCAGGAGAACCTTGTAGTCCAGTTATCAGGAATAAAGTGGGATCCAAAAGCTGGAATGTTGAATGTTGACGATCACCAGCAAATGTAGAGTGAACACCATGGATTCCCTAGTACCTGCATGCAATTCAAAAGTTGAATTATAGAGATCCAAAGGTTTTGTAGCCGTCAATCATCAGATCAACCAAACAGGATTGGTTGTGGGAAAGAGAACTGCTGCTTAGTAAGGTATCCTTCAGTCACTTTCGAGTGTTTGACTTGGGTCTTTTCTGCATCCATTGTTTCTTGCCCCTTAGATTTAACAGTGTGCTGGGGGTTTGAGATTCAGAGCACGCTTACCCTTGACTCAACCCGAAGACAAAGCGAGCAAGCTGGGCCATCCAATTGGATGCGCCTAATATGCTGTTTGAGGCTATATGAAGGGATGACAAAGGCATTGGTTTGCACTTCGTTCGCTTCAGCTTACATGAGATTAGGATTAGTTGAGCAAGAGGGTGACTGCTATACCCAGAGCTTGGTAGCAGCCATAGTGTGAGAGGAGTTGCCAGGGTATGTGTGTATGCACCTTCCTGCATGTGCTCGTGTGTGTGTGTGTGTGTGTGTGTGTGTGTGTGTGTGTGTGTGTGTGTGTGTGTGTGTGTGAGAGAGAGAGAGAGAGAGAGAGAGCCACATGCAAGGAATATGTTACATGCACAGATATGTGATGTTTGTAATAACCGAGGAACTGCAATGTGACGAAAAGGACTGAAATGGACAATGCGGTGAGAGTAGAATCTCGACAGACAATGTGCATTCTCATACATACAAAAGTGCTGAATAGCGCAGGGAAGACTTAGATACAAAGACTGACCTTACACACGTAGTAGCAAGTAGCGAAACAGACTGC